TACGTCCAAATACCTTTCCAATGGTATATCACTAGTCACCACCCGTTTCCGTTTGACCGGTTCCACTGTGGGGGACGTTTTCATGGAAAAAATCAACATTTCGACATCTTCACATTCATGACACCGAAATCCACTCCACTAATGTAGATTTTCTAAGTTTGACTTTCCCATTCGATTCTACTCATAAATACCTTTCCAACGGTGTATCAAACACCATAATTTGTTTTCATTTCATGGTAATTATTCTGGTCGTACTTTTAAAGACAAAATCTCACATTTCAAGTAAAAATGTGAAAATTAAGGATTTTTTATGCACAATATATGAACAGTGTTATTTCATTCACTGATTAAAATGTTTTCATGTATTGTATGAACATTCTTAATGAACAGACCGACAAATCCGACACAATGAGCCAAAAACAGGACGCCGATTAAAGTGGTACAGGTGCCAAGAGCTGAACGTGCTGTTGTTGTAAACGATGAACAACAATTAACTGATATTCTCAAACTAAACATCGATTGTTTCGAAGAAGTGTTCGACTTTTTCTCACTGGCGGTTTTGGTAGCAATGGAACAAATATGTAAACGAATGCAACTATTTGCGGGATATTCTTTCCAACTAAACTATGGACCCACAACAGCATACTTCGATAAGGATGTTTTTCCCTTGACCATGTTGATTTGGATTGTTTCAAGAATTTCTTACAAAACGTCGCAATTGATGATTATGATCTCACAAATGCACATAATGTGGATGACATTGAAGTTTCCATGGATGATGATGACAACGGCGGGTCCACGAAATCGCAACAAATAATACAATGGTGAATTTCGTCAACGCAGATCTATTATGGGAAAATAGAGCATTGTTTAAAAGACTTTTAATAAAAGTCTGAACATCAAATATGATAAACTGGCAAACATTCATGATTGTGACAAAGTTTTTTGTACATTTTTGCTCGATGGACTCCATGAGTCTGGATTTTATAAAAATGTGACTTTCGGATATCGCAAGAAGATATCGGTCGTCTGGTTTCAGTAAAAGGAATGACCAAACTTCTAGCCTAACATGTACAAATCGTATCGCTGTTGGGACTTTGAAAAACTTGGAAGAACTATGCGTTTGCAACAGTAGTTTTGTCACTGATCTGAAGTCGCTTCCACATATTCTATCGAAGAGAAACGCAGAGAAAGTGAACAAAATTAAAGTTCAATGGTTTGCAAATGGACTATATTACAATGCAGACGGTAAGGTACTTGATTTATTGGCTTTGAGCAAAGAGCGTGAAAAATTATTAAGGAAGATGTGTATTTGGCAACGAAATCAGAAATTTCGTTCAACAGACGAACTTCAAATTGATTCAATACATCTGATATATTAAACAAACAAAATAGTTTTTTTATTTTTTTTTATTATGAAGTGAAATTTCATCAATTTAAAAGATATTTTATACAATTTTTTCGACGAAGAATCAGAAGAAAATTAAAAGTCCATTTTCTTACAAGAGAAAATCCTCTATTAATGTTTACAAATCAGCAATGAAAAAAATTACGAATCCATGCCCAAAATCCACATGACTTATCTTTGGTTTCCTCTTTTTTTTCGTTCATGTCTACACCGTTACAACCATCGGTGTCGCATGTCTCGCAAAATTCCGTCTTTATATACGGTGGTACATTATTATTCAAACACTCGTCCTTCGCAGCACCAATTTTTTCCCAGAAACAAGATCGAGATATAACGCGCTTATCATTAACTGCAAGAGAAGAAAAATATTACAAATCGATTTTTTAAACAAAATCACGCTAAGTACATACCAGTTTGTACGACCTTCTTGCACACGGCTCTTTGATCTGACGGTTGACTGTATGGGTTTAATTGGCCTGGTGGAAATGTACATTCCACGTAGCTCCAGCGCCTTTGTTGTTCGCTGATGCCACTTGCATCAAATGGGTCAGCGCAGAATGCGGCATTCGATGCATCCGATGAACATCTCCAACATTTGATGGCGCATACTGAAACATTGAAGAGATACCAAATAGAAATATTAGAAGATATTTAGGGCACCAGATGGGTGTCGATCCAATGATCGCGTGTATTTTCAATATTCCATTCATTATTATTTAAGAGCTTGCGTGTAAAATATTTTTATTTCTCGGCTGATAAGAACTGTTTTTGAAATTGTGTCCGGCTAAATTCCCTTTGATAAGCCATAAAAATTCCATCTTCATACGATTTTGTGATGCTAGTAAAGAATCTTATCGAATGACTTGAACTTGACCTTTTAATATTCATCGAATGCTGATGCTTGTTTATTCAATTTCAAATAAATATACCACATTTACTCTGATTCAATATTCAAAATAAAAACTTTCATTACAAAAATTCAAAACAGTTGAATCAATAATTACTTCGTTCTGTGTATTTTTAAAAAACCTGTTTTTTTATTTTTTTTTAATAAGTCGTTTTTGTCTTATTTTTCATTCTTGATCATTGATGCAGAGAGAGAGAGAGGTTTCCGTGTTTTGGCCCCTCTGTCACACACACATTTGGGATTTTCCCCGAAAACGAAAAAAAATTGGATTTTACCCCCGTCTGAACTTTTCACATTTTTTGTTAGTCAATGTATCCCCTCTGAGACATTGAAATTTACGCACTAAAGACTTAGCAACTTGAATGGGAAAGAGCACTTTATTTTTGGTGAAAGCCACAATAATTTGGGCATTTTAAAACAAGTTTCGTTTGATTCCTTATTAAATTTTGAACAAAAGAGAAAATACACATTTCTGACTTATGTTCTTCCACCAAAATTAGTTGTATATGGCCGTTATTCGGAAGACATTTTTTATAATCTTTAAATCATTTGCGTTTTCTTCTAAAACTTTCAAAGTATTTCGAGCATAGTTTTCTTTTAATATAATTGATGATTTGCACACATACCTTGCTGAGTTGAGGCTATGATGAATATAGTTATTACAATTGACAAAAAATTGAAAAAATTCATTGCTATTATTAACGGAGTATGAACCTTTTAGTAATGATTAACAAGTGAATTTTGAAAAGTTACTTCTATTCAACAGCTGTCGCCAAAATAAACTGTTTTCAAGCACTCTGTTTAAATATGCGATATTCTTAAAAAAACAACTTGGTTGAAATGGACGAAATTGGCATTGAAATTGAGATAAAAATGATTTTTTTTTTTCAATGTAACTATAAACTTCAAAGTGAATATTAAAGGGAACGGGAAGAAAGAGAGAGAAAGCAATTCAAATGAACCGAAATCTATCACATATAAATGTGTTTCATCCAATGTGTTTATTGAAGCTTTGCCTTTGGTATCTCTCAGTCCTAAAAATGTGTTATCATCGTTTTATTTTTTATGTTTCCTTCTATGATTTAAGATTATACATGTTGTTGTCTTATATGATAGTCATACACATGCCACATGCCATATGCCATCGTATTACGAATGTTAATGGAAGAGATATGTGTCAACTTATAATAATGTACATTATACACTCTCTATAAAGGAAAATTAAACCGGTCTCTCACTTAAAATACATGTTGTACCGGGTTAGCATTTTACAGAGAGATTGTACATGATTGTAATACATATTTGGTTCTTTGATCAGCATCTCTATATTATAATAATGTTTTTTGTCGTTCTTTCAGTCTCATTCGTCAAATTTTGTTTGTTTTGAATGTAATTCATTATCGCGACCACTTC